TGCAAAGATTCAAATGCAACCTGAAACGAAACGAAACGAAAACTCGGCCAGAGCACCGATCGAAATCGAAACTTGATGAAAGACGGGAAGTGTTCGATCGGCCCCAATAAAATCAATCAAATACTTTGACATTTTGGTTTGCCGAATATGTGTGTGTGTTGAAGGAAAATGTGTACGGTTTAGGTGCAAGGAGATGAACCGTTTTATCAAATCGTTCGTATCAAATGCGAAAAGCCGTTTGTTCGTCATAAAAACAAATTGATTGGCATTGCATATGTATATTGATTGAATTCAAATGTAAATTGTAAATGCTATTTGTATTAAATCCATTTACTCAGAATCTTGTTCAAGTTTTCCACTGAATGAAAGTTTTCACCTGGGTAACTGGCATTTTGATCGTAGATTACACCAAATTACAGCTATTGCCGAATTTCACCGATTAACACTATGTTGTGCTAATGCAAAGTGCTTTAGGTGCAATTCCATTTATACTTTCAACCAAAAACTTGGATTGATTATCGATTTCAAAATATGATTTACAATCTATCGTCCCCATTTCCAAACTAAATCACTTTGATGAATATTCCAAATTTTGAATTTAAGTCAACGGATTTTGAAAAGAATACATAAATATCCGTACAGATGGACTTCAGGCCCAGATTTTTTTTCTCGCAAAGTACAAACATTATCGCATGAAACCGAATGTTCCAGTCCAAGCGTTCGCATCATATGAACGCGTGCATCTTTTCAGGGGAAATGGAGTTCATTTTGGAAGCACTTCCCCATTGGAAGCGAGAGCGTATCGTTTTCATACTTGGAGAATAATCCCATTGTACGTATATCAACAAACAGACAAGAGAAAAAAAAACCAACCGGTTTGTATGCTGCTGAGTATGAATGCATTCATGTCGCCTTTAATTTCAATTCCATTTGTGTGTGTGTGTGTGTGTGTGTGTGTGTCGTTTGTTGAATGTTATTTACTCATGCCAAAGTCCTCCATTACCGTTCTCTGATCATCGCATGTTTGGGGCTGATGCAATAAAGACGATTGTTCACGCACAAATTGAAAATTTATCACAGATCAAGCGTCTTTTCTTCGCAATTCATAATTCACAATTTTCGCGGAAGACGATGATGCAATTTAAGATAAAGAAGATGATTTTTTCAACGGCACACATCTAAAGCCTGCAAAACCAATCAAATGGACAGCACTTGAATTCCATTCGAATGGTGTTTTCCACAAATATCGCGCGCCAACCGACAAATTTATCTTTTTCATGCACCTCACACATACAACAGAAATGAACGGCAAATTAATTAGGTGCGTTGGAAAGAGAATGAGAAGCATTCGAAATGGAATGTGACTGTTTGACATTTTAAAAATTTATTCTCATGCGAGTGACGGCGCCCAAGTTACGAAAAATGGTGTGTTGAATGTGTCTCGTAAGCTATTCGGCATGGAAAATAACACAAACGCCGAGACTGTCGCTATCGCTCACTCTCTCCCACGAAGAATAAATTCAAAATTTATGCCGAAGAATTGAATGAAGACAAGAGAAGAACCGGCGAACAAACGAAAAAAAAACCAGCAGCAGCATCATAAAATGTGAATCCAATTTCCTTTTCGATTCAACGGCGAGGAAAATAAAAATTGGTTATCTTTTGTGCCATTGTTTGGTGTGGCAATACTTTGGAATGTTGATTCGATGCGTCTCGTGTCTTCTGTGTTTTTTTTTCTTCAGCGAAAGCACCGTTACGTTTTAAGCTATACATATATTCAATTCAGCACGGACGCATATTGTTTGAAATATAACATTTAGTATACTCTTGGTTCTTTTCTTGTCTTTAGTTTTTTTTTGTCATCATTTACGTCGAAAGAATAGACGACTCATCGCTTCGTTCACACTCTGTCTCGCTCACTGCTGTTCAACGGTTGATAAAAGTAACGGGTGTTTGTAGTATTGTTCTGCTACTTAAGCAATACTATATGCAGGACTCAATTTCACACAAGGAGAATGTCTGTTGATTTGTTTGTCTCGCACGCAGATTTGCAATGAGTGTATGTGAAACCAGCCAAAAAAAAAGAGAGTAGCGCATGTATGAGTAAGACACTCTCAATATAAGCGAAAAATAAAGAAAAACCTCTTCTGGTGTGATACCAAAAATACCAGCACCAATGGCACAGCACCGAAGGTAATCATTCTAGGTAGGCGAACACAGTAGAGGGAAAAAAGCAAAATTCACGTTTCACATTTGAATAAACTTCGTTTTTAATTAAATTTATATGCATTTCATACCTGAATGAAATTGGGCGCTGGTGCAATTTCACTTTGCCGCTCTTTGCCATTATTTGCGTATAAAATTTGCCAAATACCATGCTTATTAATATTTACTTTAACCGCAGATCCATTTGCAAGATTCAATATTGGGAATAGTGAAATTCTATTTTTATTTCTTGGCATTTTGCTGCATTCGAACATCGACACCATCGGAATGTTTGATCTTCATGTTCAAATCGAGGAAACCAATTATTTTGTGCATCGAAATGAACATGGCATGGTGTAGACATAGGTAAATAACCTTTGGTTGAGGTGCACTTCGAGTTTTTTTTTTAAATTCAAATATGATATGGAATTATACAACGCAAAAGATGATAAAGAAATTCATCGAATCTCGCTCATGTCATCATGATGAATTCAAGGCAAAGGCTAACTCTCTGTTGATATTCTTGGAAATGGGAATTAAGGACACTTTACAGACTTCTGCTAGTGTTCCTGTTCACCCTTTCGAATACGAGAACAAAAAAAATTCGTCGTGGTTACGTGTGTGTATTCGCATAGAATATGTACGCCTATGGGCCCACAACATTGCAAAGCTATTCTATTGTACGCCATGCAACATTACACACAATGTTCCGTCATACAATTTTTGAAGAGTTTTGGAATTCCAACAGCTTATCTGCTATTTAACATTTTTGGAACCCAAAACAACCCATTTCACACATTTCATGCAATGAAATCATTTTCCGTGTGCAAATAAAGTGACTGACAGTCACTCAGTTGTATATAGCTGCAAATAACTAAAACTGGCTAAGTTGATTAAATTCAAAAATGTTGTTTAGAAACAATCACTTTTAGTTATTCTTTCAGCCAGTCGTCTAATTTCGAGATAATCACTTTTAGTCAGTAATAGTGAGCCAAAAAGTCAGAAATTAGGCGGCTGGCTAGTCAGTCAAAAATTTTTCACACGGGTTGTCCACTGTAAATACACTTGTTTCCAAATTTGATTTAGAATTATTTGCCGACCATTTATTGCTGAAGTGCATGACTTCAAATGTATTATTATGCTAGAAATGCTCTTCGGTACCATTCTATTAGTAAATTAAAAAACCGACAGACGCATATATGTATGTTTAATATACGTTTTATACGGAGTAATAAAAAAAAATGGTTTACCACTCCTAGATTGTATTGAAACTTGAGGATGACGCGACTTTCGATATTCGGTCATCGAAATAAATACATTCTACATTCACCTGAGAAAATAAAATCATAGATCATCTTGATATTTACTTCAGACGCAATAAAAATCGGGGCTACAGTCAATCGTCTTCAAGTCACAAAGTCTTTTCCAAGAGATATTTTATTCGTCTGGGCTTTCAAAGTATTAAAGTATTCGTAACAAAAGAGCACTAGCTAAACTTATTTCTCTTCCATGCTCTCTTTCTCGTCGACTTTTTTTGTTGTTTCCATTTGCTTGTGTGCTTCCGTTTTATCTGAGACACAACACGAATACTTCATTTGTATGTGCTTTTGCACCCCCACAAACAATGGAAGCAACACCAAATCTCTAGACTTCCGACAATTTCCAGTCTTTGTATTCTTTTGCCATCATCTTTGAGTGTTTTTATTATCGCTGTCTCTTTCTTGCTCTTAGATTGAAACAGTATCTCTATCTGTCGGACGATGGATTTTGGTGCGGCTCTAAAACCCGATACCAAAGTGCTGAATGTGACATTCGACGACCGCCAAAGAAACAGCCAACTAAAAATGGGAAATACACAACATGAAGCATTCAGTTTGATCGACCATTCACTTTACAAAAAAAGAGAGAGAGAGAGACCGTGTCGAACTGTGTGTGTAGGTTTTATGTGATACGCATGCAAAATGTCGAAGTTCTCATGAATTTTCAGTACTTATTGAATTCTTCTGAAAATGCAAACACGCTCATTCGACTACCATTCAAATGTGGGCTCAAATAACGCGACCGGCTCCAGTCCGACATTAAACACCATTTTGATACACATTAATTTGAAGAATACAGTGCACCGGTCGGCACCAAATTCCATTCAGTAAAACGCTCTATTCACACAACGCAAGTTCAGCGGTGAAAAGGTCTCGACAAACACCGCATTTTGTTCGTTCACAATGGATTGTTCGGATTTAATCAAGGAAAGTGTCGGGTGGGTGCATATGATCCTATTCAATTGCAAAGAATAAAAAAACTTTCCAGTTTCAGATTTATAAATAGATCTGGTGTATGGTTCGTCGAGTGGTATTTCGCACAATTTCTGAGTGTTGGATGATGACACCAAAAAGTTTGCAAGTTTTATCGGAATTTAAAAGCTCTGGCCTCGCAAATGCCTTTATTCCACATGATCTTAAAGCATTTACTTTTGCTAAGTAATCCTATCGCTTTGAAACGATATTTCACTTACCGACTTTTTCAATTTAATCAATAGTTTTATTTTGAATAGAAAAGGCTGAAACATATCAAATGAAACTATTCTATGTTGTAGTTGATTGTTTTATCGCCAATTTAAAAATTTTACTGGGTGCTATCATTCAAAATTGATTCAACATACTTAGACGGCAAAGTGGACGATTAAATATCATTGAAATTATCGTTGACAATACAAATAATTGTAATTAAATTTGATATTTTATTTTATTTTATTTTGATTAGACGAAGGGTGAAAAAGTAGAAAAATTCAACAATACTTAAAATGCTAGCTCCAAGAAATAACGCCATGGTGCCTCCTGAAAATACCAAGGAAAAAAAGGTAATGATTTTCTTTCTGTTGTTTCGATTTGATTGAGACCAAAATGAGAACTACCAATCGACACTGAAACGAAACATCAAGAGAGAGAGAAAAAAATATAAGAAAATCACCAAGAGAAATATTTGTTCTCTGTTTGTTTCGATTTTACTGAGACAAAACATAGTGAGAATAAAATAAGGTGACAACGATACCGACAGACGACTGAGACTCACCGACAATATCCAAATTGTTACGAACAGCTTGTCGTCTATACCTCTGAGTGGGAAGTGACTGCATGACTATGCGAGTGATTCGCCTCTTATCAATGTTCTCGGAGCCGGTTCTGTTATTGGTTTTTTTTTTGGTTTGTTCCGGAAAATTCGAATAAAAAACAAACGTGAATAGAATGTAACTTGGCAAATCTTGGAGGAAAGACAATTTTGATTTGAATATATGAATAGGAGCGTGTTCATTAATCAAATATTTGGTGACTGAATTTCTAAATTGAAACAATGAAAATATTAGATCACACAATACACTATATATGCTTACATGTATGAGCGGCCAACGAGTCTGATTTCGTGTTCATTGCACGACGGCAAGCAGTCGCATGAGAGTCCATTCACTCTCCACGGTTGCATAATTGTTGTTTGTGGAAAAACCAAATCGAATTTATCTAAACATATCATGCCGTCATAACCACACTGAGGACTCTTGTCGTTCTCTAATGCATACAGTCACAGCCAAACATGTATATTTCAAACGATTGAGTGTGTGTATGCATGTGTTGATGTTGAGACAAAACCGCACCACCAATCACCGGCAAAAATATGATGTGACACGCAAGATTATGAAAGAAAATTATGGTTGCGAATGAATTATCCTGTATGACTTCAAACATATTAAAACAAATTCACAATGTGCGCTTCGATGTCTCCCCGTCTTTTTTGCGCGTTTACTCCCGCTAGTATATCCCCTCAACAGATTGAATTATGTGGATTGAAAGCAAAAGTTTTGCGGCCAGAGCACGAGTAGAGTGAGTAAGAGGGTGGTTTGCATCATATGCCACCACAACAAACACACAATATTCACCGACCCATATACGAGAACCTATTAATCTTAATGATACTTCCACTGTATTCAGATGTATAGTACGTCTTACATATCATTGCACCGATCTCGGTACACACAACAAACACACATACATTTCGGAACGTCGTCGCACATCGAAGAGCCAAGTGAGGGAGAGAGAGAGAGTAAATGAATGAGAAAAAAAAGACAAGACAAGACAAGACACACACGATTCGAACATTTATTTCACGATATGTTCTGAAAAGCTTTCATGCGCTGCCATTTATCGGACGGTATTCTTTTGGACAAACAATTCAAATCGCGCAAATAAATAACGGAAAAATTGGAATAGATGCGTTTTGTATATATGCTTTGTGTTGGGCTTTCTCGCTATTGCTGATTTTATATCCCTGAGCAACGGTGCAAAGCGAAATATTATTTATGTGCGCGAACAGCATTGCCATTCATCGAAATTTATGACCCACCCGAACCAACAACAGAGGCCATTACGTTTTTACTCCTTTTAATAGATTGCACAATGTGCAAATCGAGCTCATTCCTCTGTGTATTTATGTGTGTGTAGTGTGTACTATGTTGAAATGTAGAAGGAGTGCATGGATGATGAAACAATCAGATAATCTACATCTTCATTTCTACTATTTTTCTCCTCGGGCTAGTTTGACAAATAATTGAATACGGATTATAATCACTTATCAGCCGATGTGACATGTTCAATTGAGTGAATTCAATTCATTGATACAATTTGACTCAATACTAATTCCAATTGATTTCATAGGGTTCGACCGATTTGAGTGCACAGTTCGGCCAACGTATACGTGACGATGCGTAAGAGTAATGGTCGTCGGTCAGAGACGAATAGGGCGAAAGAGCAGCCGAGTAGATAAGCCAACGGCAAGGAACGTATACATATATAACATTCGTAGCATACCGTGAGAGCGTAGACACAACGGACAGATGCTCCCTATCTAGTGCTAATATTATTAATGATAAAATTATTAAGATACTAACCATCATAAATCATGTTGAAGTGCGTACAATTGCACATTTGAATTTGAGACTTTTTCAGGCACTCCGTAACACATGTACTGTAGCTATAATACTTATACTTGGAGTTGAAATTCTCCTTGGGAAAAATACACTTTCTGGATTGTTTACTTATATCCTCGACGCCTGCATCATTCACAACATTCTGTATACGTAGCACTATCCTCTGCTTGGTACCATCATGTTGCTGATTGAAGTTCAAATTGTTTAGCAGCATATGCGGAATATCCTCTTCGTTTAAAACCGACACCTGAATCAATGGACACAATTTGTCGTCATAAATTTCGATACACTGCTCTCTTTTAATAAAACAAGCAAAAATGTTGGCAACCACTATTACGAACCGATGTCGCTTTTGAAAATTCCAATTCTAACGAGTCTTCTGTTTTCTGTTTGCCAGTTTCCAAAGTCAACCAATTATCGCCGAACCTATAAATTAGTTCACCTTTATTTATCGAATCAATCTTGTACGAGTTGTTTTCTTTTTTTCATACTTTTTAGTAATTTGAATTGAGTTGAGCAAGTAGCAGCGGCCAAGAGTCGTTTTGATCGCTAGAAAATATCGACAGCAATCGAATGGCTGGTTATTCCATGTGCAGTTGACAATCAAGCCATTGCACGGTTGTCGCACCTACATTATTTAAGTGATTAACATAGAAATGTAATATTTGAACTGTTGACAATATTCGTTGGACGTGTTTTGAAGCGTTGTTGAATGTGAATCTTGAAAAAGTTGTGCGTAAAAATAACACTTTGATATAATTTTTCGTGGTTTTTAAGCCATCATTACAACAACACTTGTCCCGCTTTTTTGTACAATTTTTTTCCAAGTTCCACACATGTAACTACGCATCGAAATACGCCCGTCGAATATTCTCAGCAGTTCATATTTGTAAATCCAAAATGATATTTAGCTGAGTGATCTGGATAAACTGACCAAATCCGCAAATGAACTGTAATTAGTTTCAGGACACTTTATACAACCATTGGTACACTGTCGATAGAGCGAGCAATATGATTCATACGATCCATAATTATACAAATTCAAGTATACAATGCGAAGCAAAAAGTCTTCGACATCAAAATTGGGCTCATTGTTACCATCACCGCCGAGTCTATGGAATGGAAAACCGAAAAAAACGACATCGTAACAACAACAGCAACAACGATGAGAAATGCGAAATTAATCGAGCGTAAACAATGTGTAATTCATTGATGTTAGCAAATAAATATCTTAAATCGATGATTTTATTACCGTCGAGCCCATTTAATAGCGATTAATTAAGTGAATAGTCAGCCGAAGTGTGCGTGTATTTGTATGTGACATAATATCGTCGTCTCGTTTGAAAACAATCAAATTCTACTTACTGTCGCACAATACGTTCCAATGCAGTGTACACCTCTCTGATGTGGCCAATTTCACAAACACCAACCGATGGAAAATATGTAATGTCATCAATTTGAAGACTCTCAACCACCATACTGACGCTACTTTCATCAAAATCCGTTAACGTTTGATGGATTAGCGAATACGATCCAAATATCGAAAGCATAAGGCAAAAAAACCAAAACCAACGCTCGGTGTAATGAAATCTAAGTGGAAAATCCCATTATGTCATCATTAAATCAAATTAGGATGAAAATGAATGTGACAAATCGTTTATTGAACACACATTTTAACACACATTACCTTGAGTCGGCAATATAGCTCAGACCAGCCAGTGTACTATTCAAGCAATAGTTTTTGACCGTAAACCAAAAATTGGCCACCACTTTCATTGTACACTATGATATGGATAGCTTGAAATTTGGAATCAAATAATTGTGAACCGCACAAACATACAAGTACAAGCAGCAGATAGAGAGAATGAATGACACTGTCCTGTTGAGAATTAAATTATCGAATGAAAATCAAAATAGCATTCAAAATTCGGTGAATTTCTAGTCAAAACTTTTTTTTTCGAATCCGTTCCGAACGACGGTCAAAAACCATTGGTTGTACCAATGGGCTTGTATGCATTGCTCTAGGCACTGCTTTCTATGGCATGCACACTACTGAATCGATTAATAATTGATTGCGTTGATTATATATATTTCATTAGTTAATGTCGCTCAAGTGGATTTCCCTGTTCACTTGGAAAATTGTGTTCCATTCCATTTTTATTGGTGCGGTTTTTGTGGTTGTCAAATGCCAAATAATAAATGAACATAATGCATTTTCATCGGATTCCATGACACATATAATTTCTAGATGATTTCATCATGTTTCGTGCATATGAACTGATTTAATCACACATCCAACACCAACGAAGAATGGGTGAAAATCATTTGAAAATCATAGATATAATGAATTCATTAATTGTCTCAAAAGAATAAATCAATGTCATTCCGGGGTCTAGTTCTTTTTATTACTTGAGCGTTCTATGCACACAACTCATGCAATCGCTGAATCATCATAGTTTTCAAACTAGATTTATGACATATAAATCTTAGCTTGACCCCAAATTAAGGCTCTTAATCCCCTTTTGAAGATCTCTTTTGAACATTTCAGGCTGAAATTTTCAGCTGCAAATCCACCATATGAAAAGCACGATGATGAGTCTTGGTGACGACTTTTTGTCATCTTGATTCTATCAAATTGAATACAATGCGAATTATGTGAGTTGCTCGTCTGAATCGTACTGTTCTCATAAGAGTTTGCATGAAATAAAACTAGAACCAGCATTTCGAGATGCAGTGAATACTTTTGCCTTCTTTCTGAAGAACAAAAATGAGCAAAACATGGCTAAACTTATACATATATTATGTGTTTGCGTTTGTTTTTTTTTCATCATAGAATCAGAAAAAATGCACAAGCTTGTTGAAAAGAGGGCAAATATGACATCACATCGAAACACAAACAAACGGGAATGAAAGAAAAATGCTTATAATCTCTGATAATATTTTGTGTACGCCTTATATATTTGCATATGTATGCAGTTCGGTGATGCACATCGTTGTCTTTTTAGATAATAAAAAATGTACTCAAGTAAAAATATATGTATATTGGCTGAAGAAACTGCAAACAAAATTTATAAACGACTTTAAATGTGATTTTGACTGCAATTTTTTTGTTTAGTCTTCTTCTTTATCGATCGATGAGTTTGTGTGTGTGTGTGTGTGTGTGTTCCTTGAGCGAAACTTTTCAACTTGTTATTATTTAGAAGAGAGAAAAAAACATGAATGTGAAATTAAAATTCGATTTATTTCGTGTCAGTTCCGATTCATATTTTCCTCTTCCGCTGCGAAACAATGAGACTTGTTATCGAATTCAGTTAGTTTTTCCTTTCTTTTTGTTCTCCTATAGCCAAAGTAATCTTTTTATCATTGAAACGGTGATGTGCCCCTTGCAAAAATGCACACAACACGATTGGATTGTGCATGAATGAATCGTCGGCGCAACTTTTATAAAATGCCAAAATGATTTATTGTCTACCAAATAAGTTTGCGTTAAGTAATTGTTTCGAATAAAAACTTTTTTACCGACTGTCAAAAGGTCCTCATTCCGTGGGTGAAAATGTGCGCTACACAAAGCAGATAATGAATTTTTTTTTTGAATTTTGCGGAAAACAATTCAAAAATCGTCAATTTTCCACAGAAAAAGAGGGAGATAGGGGATATAGACACAAAAAATGAACAATTTCGACTTTGTCGAACATCGGCACATTTTCGATCGACACACAGCGGCTGTGTATGTGTATATGTGTGTGTAGTCATTGTTAAGTGTTCAGCTTTTTCGAGGCATAGCCAAAGTTTATGGGCTAAGTCATGTTTTATGTAAATATGTACTCGAGACAGGAGAGAGCCAACTAAATATTGATTCTATGTACACGTAAAGGCTGTTTCGTTTCACATTGTGTCGCATTTTGCACCGAAAGAATTGCTTCAAGCCAATATTATCATCTTGTTTTTTTGGTGCGACGAAATACACACACACACACACACACACACACACACACACACCGTCGAAAATGAAGCTGTCTACATGCAAAAACAGTCAAAATGCAAGTCTGTTCTTATTGTAATAGTTATCAGGTTAATTTTAATGACATGGAAAAGAATGGATATGATGAAACAATTTCTGCATAAAGTTCTAGGTTGTCAGGGTTACAGCTTCATTCACTCTTCTGCTTTTTTTCCCATCCGGCATATTTCCGGCATCATCATCATCACCATCATCATTCCATCATATTTTCGCCTTTGTCACATTAAATCTGTCCGCATAATAAGCACATGCTCACAAATATTTTCCGAACGAAGGAAAAGTTATCGAAATACGTGACATGTTTTCTTTAGCACGCTTTCAAATAGTATGCTTACACAAACCTGGGACTGTAATCCATAATCAATTTTGACAATAGCACTAGAAAATTCTGTGGAAAAAAAAATTATCGACTAGAAAAAGCACTCGCTTGATGTGACGTGTCTTCCGAATAAAATTGCATAGTCAGTGTTTGTCCATTTGTCGGATTGGTAATTGAGGCTTCTGCAGCGCAAAATAGTATTTATAGTGCATAATGTTTATTTGTTTGAAAAAATTATCCATCTATTAAATGGGCTGACATATGATTTGGCACCGATTTGCTTTTGCTTTTTTTTCTCTTCTCTTTCATGTTCTTCCAGCAATGATACATTTTATATTCTAACCCGTCAATTTTCCCCGTAGGTTTCCCACAAATATTTCCGAGACAATATGTTTTTCTTACATGCATTCAGCTAGACACCGGCAAATCAATATGCTATGACACAACGATCGATGAACTCCCTAGCGTTCCATAAATTTAAAATGCAATGAATATTTAATTATGTTCATTTCAAGTTTCCATGTTCATACCATAAAAAATACTCCCTCTCTACTCACAGAAGCACCCACCTACACACATACCTCGAACACATTACTAGTAGCCAATCGGCGGATGAGTGTTTGTATGTAAAAAAGCAATTTTGATTTAAAGTTGACATATTTTTCCCATCCTCATTATGGTGCGCATTCAAGGGGCACCTTGACATAAACTATATCATTTTACCAATGAGCAATTCATTCGAATTTTCCTTTTCGTTTTTCGATTCAAATTATTATGAATCTTATTATTATTTTCAGTTATTCTCTGCATGTATTTATTCTACTTATAACGAACTGAGCCTGATTTGGCTAAATTATTGCTCGTTAGAGTGGGTACTGTGGTTTTGTTGGATTAAATGTTGATTTAAATCGATTTACCATCCGGCATATACAACAGTAAGCACAACTACCATTTGGTTTGACGTTTTGCTATTAAGTTAGTTTAAGTAACTTAAAAGTATGTTAAGAAACAGTAAAGCCGCTGAGCTTCACGTCAAGTCTACTGTTAAGTAGAATTACCCATTAACACTCATATTGAACCAAGTTAGTACCATAATGATTTCTACAAAACTCAATAGATGTCGTTAGGGTCTTGCATGGGCCCTACGCGATTTACGACACACGACAATGCTCACAAAGTGGCCAAACCATCTACAAACGCTATGCAAAGAGAATTCATTTATTTCTTTGGAAGACATGTGACTAGATGAGTTTTTTTTAAAACCACGAATTAGGTTACTTGTATCACGTCAATAATCAATCCATCCATGAATAGCTCACATATTTTCTACATGTAATACACGTGTGTAAATGCATGTGGTTTCGTCCAATTTGTATCCATTTGTTCGTTCGATAAAGAAAGATTTTCATGTGGATTTTTTGGGTGGTAGGAGAAAGCTGAATAAAACAGGAGGCTAATCTAGCGAGATCATCGATATAAAGCGAAGAATTTTAGAAATTTTCGGTTGGATGTGTATCGAATTATTGCGGTGGCCGGATACAATGGGAAGCGTACGGTTTAATACTCGTCACACGCAACCAATATCGACATTTATTTGTTCAAGTGTAAAATCAATCAGCCTTTAATTAAAACACATACACACACGAATGAACAAATCGTTTTCCTATTTTTTCTTCAATTTTAATTCGACTATCATTCATTTGGCCTGATGGCGAGTCAGTCCAAAGCACTTCTTCCTCACCGTAGTAGGTTTTCGATAGCGAATAACGTTCAATGGAATAATTTTGTGGAATAGTGTGTGCAGTATACACGCGTACATACAGTGATAGCGTTGTTGTTTCGATAAAACCCCTATTGTTGTTGATTGAATTACAGTTATTCATAATTCGTGGTGAATTTTCCGTCGTATTGACGGTTTCATTGGAGAGAGGAAGGGAGGCAAATCGTTGAGTTGTACACGATTCAATCGAATAACAGCTGCTTGATTTTCCATTCATTTTGTCCGAAGCACATTCGCTAGATGGTCAATGTTTCGTTTTATGAATTTCTTTTCGGGCTTCGGTTTTGAACCTGTTTACGTGTTCAATTGCTCCTTTGAATTTATGTGATTGGGTGTGGTGTCCATTTTTGGATGATACCAAGTGAACTTGTTTTTGTCTTCTTCACCGACTTTGTATAAAATCGTGGCATGCAATTTTATTACAACGAAAACTATACACAAACAAAGTGCAAGAAAAAATATATAAAGAAAGCTTGAGGTGAAGAAAGGTTAACTGAAAATAAATTTCATCAAAAGACCACAAACTTGACTTTTAGTGATTGAAATGGTCACAAATTCGTGTGTATGTAATTGAGATTTATACGTCTGTTTGCGAGCGTAGTGACAACGTGAGTTTAGTGTCAATTAATTGTGAAAGAAATAAAATTAAAAATTCAAAAATCATTTCTTTTTGTTGTAATTAGTAAAATGAAGTTATCGTTCTTATTAGTTATTTCTAGTCGTTTTTTTCCATTATTTAGTGTATTCCTGTGCCGGATTTAAAATTGCGCCGACAGATTCAGATTAAAATGGGCAAATGCATTGCTTATAAAGCGGTTATAACATGAGAGTGTCACGCTGCAAGTTTTATACATTTTATACGAAAAATCAGCTGCAATAAAAACTGGGTGTAAAATATCAAATTGAATTTTTAGTTTTTTGCTTTGAATATTGTAGTGCGTGCAGTGAGGTCAGATTTGGTCAGAAATAGTTTAAAATTTTAGAATATCACATCAGGTTTTTGACTGATTTGAAGAAAAAAAAAACACAGTTCAATTGAAATTGCGGTAACATTTAGCAATTGACAAAATAGAAAAAGGTTTCATTTCCGTAATTAGTGTAGTGAATAAATAGTGCGTTGAGGAAATGGAAATTGGCAACGGTAAAGATATCTCTTTCTTCTTTTTCCTATTAGCAATTGCTTTCCCAACTGGAATTATTCATTGTGATTCAAATATGCGTTGAATACTTCCATTATGAAAAAAAGAAATGATACACAGTGTTATTTGCCGGTGGTCACATCATGAAAGTCAATGGCTTCTGTTGAGTGATAGAGAGACGATTGGTCAATGTTATTTGAATTTGTATGCTTTTTGCCCTCTTTTCTATTTGCTTCCATTTCAATTGGTTGCGAATATGTGTTATTCCTTTTTTCATGTGAGTGACTAGCAAATGGATCACCAAAATGGGCAAAGGTTACTAAGAGATAAAGGGAGAACGAAGCAATTCACGACATCAAGATTAGATCGCCATTTCACAACTCTATCTATATCTTTTGCTATGAATTCGAAACGCACATAAATCATTTGCACACTATGATTTTTTTTTTTTTTGGTATTTGGTAAAAGTAACATAGAAATTACTTGAAATGGATTTCACTGTTCGGAATATACTCGAGTGTCGATGTAATGAATTGAAAAAATATTATCGTTGGTTTTACGCGTTAGTTCACTGTAAATGTGGATGCGGTAAAGAAAACCATACGAAACAAACGATAGTGGTGCTCGAAATATGACTGTATTTGCTTATGACTTATGAACTTTTGCCTCAAGTTTCCCAATATGTGTTAGCGGTTTTTATTCAAAACGTAGTGCTTTAAGTCAAACACCAACTACTGGGAATGCGTTTAATATATTCTTAGACGTATAGCTAGTTTCAGTGCATATTCGTGTTGAATATGAATTCGAATCGGAATTGTATTTTTAGAAAATGTGCTGTTCGAGAGCCGGCTCAGCCGAGCAATATAATGGCGCCAAAGTTTCTAAAAATCAAAAATGATTCTTGCAGTTTTTCTTATCGAATTGAAAACATTAAGATTTTATTCTTGAACATAAATTGTGCGATGCTTTAAATTCATGTTCAAAGAGAGAAAATGAAATGACTTTGGATGATTCTCTTTGATTTCATGTACGACACTGTGCTTTCAAGTCAACCATTGCGTTCGCTTTCGTTGAATGTTAAACGGTGCGGATATGCAAAAGTGAAAAGAAGCGGCGCGCAAACACAATGACAAAGTTCACCGAATAAATGCAGTAAATATATGTACTAATTTAAAAAAAAAATCCCCCACTACCAACATGACTTTGAGTCAATTTCATTGAGAGATACTCTCACATTTCAATGTTGAGTTTGTGTGAAGCCTCTGTTCTTGTGGTTGATATGTGCTAAAGTGCATGTGAAACTTTAGTTTATTCAGCACGAATGCGGCTCATGCAAATGAGAGGCATTTGAGAAAGCATTTAAAGATGCGCAACAAGAGAGAAACCGGCAACAGAGATGTTCTAATTTAATTCTAATGCACCAAGTGTGCGTTGACTAGAGTTGTGTGAAAATGAAAATCATGCTGCTTTTTCTTCTCGAATGAACAGCGATAATTATGCGAATTCCCGTGTAAAATTTGCAAGCGGCGCAAAATATGCGTGAAAATAGTTGAACACCTCCTATGACTTGGGCACACATTCACATTTCGTTTGACTCGGAAAAATACTCTGCAAATTTTCATGCGTTGAAATGCTGATTTTTCCAACAAAATTCCCAGGAATAATTTTGAATTATTTTATCAAGTGGTTACTCAATGTTGAAACATTGAGTTTTTGACATTCCATAATAAACCAAATCACCATAATGGCAATCGTAAAGTTTTGCAAACAAACCGCTCTAACGTTTCCATAATTTCGGTTGCATTTTCACTGGTTCTCGCATTCACCAACACACATACACACATCAACAATTATAAGCTACGCGAACAGTTTATGCATCATAGCATCATAGCATCATTACACACATTGGTTCCGTTATAGATATGAAATTCGTTATAAATTATGATAAAGAAAATTCTTCCATACTCCCGTTGCACAGTGCACACTAGTCGGGTTTGGGTGTGCAATTCAATACGGGTAAAACGAAGTAAAGTAAAGCAAAGCAAAGCAACAAAAAAAACAGGGAAAAAACAAAGCATAAGCGCGCGCCGACAGTACACATCGATGTTGACCGACTGTGCATTGGCAATGGCAGCACACACACACACACACACACACACACCATTTGCATATATATAAAATTCAACGCATGCAAAAGTGTTCATTGCAAAGCAACGGCAAACACTGACATTCATAAATTTCGCACAACCAAGTGTCCGACTCCATATACACACTGTACTACTCTCATATTCATGCATGTGACTTATGGCCGGAGTGAAAGTTTATAAAAACCGTAATAAATTAATAGAGAGATATGCTGATCTTGCAGATGGTGATGACCTCGTTAGCAATTTTTATAAGGGATCAGTGGTGTTCATCACTGGTGGAACGGGGTTCATTGGAAAAGTTCTCGTCGAAAAATTGCTACGTGTATTTTCCATCAAACGCATCTACCTATTGGTCCGTGTTAAGGATGACATGCCCGTCGACAAACGCCTGGAGAATTTCTTCCAAGAATCGGTAACAAACAAGAGAAAAGCAAAGACAATTTAAATATTCTCAGTTTCGTCATCACTTTTTATCTTACAATTGCACCTCTTTTTTTTCATCTTTCCTTTTGCATTTCATTTACAAAAACTGATAAACATTCAAAACTATTTCATTTCCGTTTTTTGTTTTGTTTTGTCTAACTGCAGATTTTTGATAGATTACGAAAAGAGTCGCCCGACGTGATAACGAATGTAAAAGCAATTGAGGCGAATTTCGAAGCTCACGATTTGAACATTTCTCAGGGAAATAAGGATATCATCTGGAATGAAGTTGATGTACGTGATGCTGTTTGGTTTTGCACAACAAAACCAAGCGATTGATCTGTTTTCGTGTCTTTGTTGCCAATGCCATTATGTATGGCACAAAATTTCGGATATTCTTAGAATAATTTATTTTCTCTGTTTCTCTCGTTCGTTCGTCATATTTTCACACACGCTCGCGCGCATACACACACACGCACACATACATACACATACAGATTGTTTTCAATGTGGTCGCATCGGTGAAATTCAATGAAAAGCTCCGTGATGCGGTCGAGATCAATGTGCTTGGTACAAAAAAGATTCTGGATTTAGTTATGGGAATAAAGAATTTAAAAGTATGTACATGTCATTTGTGTGTCATATTTGAATGCAATAGAAACATATAAACAGTAAATCACAATTAGGAATAGAGGAATAAAACCAAAGCGAACAACAGCGAGCAAATGCTCACTTCACCGACACATTGGCATTTCAATTTGTTTCGGTTCAATTGGATTCGATATCGAATAGGGAATTGCGTTTTGGAAAGTATGTCAATCGATACGAGTGTGTGAGTGAGTGAAAGGAAGAGAGACAGTGGGATAAAACCACAAAATCTCGGAATGATGACACTTTTTCTCTACGATTGAAATGGGAAAAATCACACACTTTGAACAATTGTCACTCGAATTATTTGCTCTTTTTGGGGTGACTTTACAAGCTGATGAAAATTTTAATATACATATTCCAATTCAGGTAATCGAAACGGAAGCAATGAACCACATCGATTCGAATTAAATTAACCTAATCGATTCGATTCCAAACTTTGATTATTATTCAAATTGTATATTGATGTTTCGAACTGTGTGTGTGTGTAAGTGTGATCTATACACACAAACACATACACACACAAATCTGAAACATTTCATTAAATGGAATTTATATTCACAAGTTACACACAGTGTAATGTACAAGTTGAAATATTTAGATTGATTTGACTAAATTGTAATTATTCCAGGCATTTCTCCATATATCCACGCTATACTCCAACTGCGACCGCAGAATGATCGAAGAGAAGGTCTACGAATCCGATATTGCATATGAAAAAATTATTCAAGTAAGTTGTATTGCTCTTGTGTTGTCTTGCTCAGAGCGTCAATAAATTTTGAATGGTTCACATGAAGCCCAACACTTGACTTGGATTCGTTCATTTGTTTACAATGTGTGTTGTCCCGAGTGACGCTGTGTCTTCTTCGGATTGTGCGTTTCAAATCAAAACCAGCTATTTATGTTTATTTCGGTTTGACTTTGATTTGTATTTGGTCATTACACACCAGTGATATATCGATGCTATTTCGACGGCCAACGTCTGTTTCAACCCTTTTCATGTTTCGCACCCGATGAATTACACCGTACAACACATCCTCTCACACATGGACACTTTAAATGCGGGATGTTAGGGGACCTAAAAACAAACAAAACTGCATACTACGATTTC